CTTTTTGCTTCTTGCAAGTTTAGTACAATCAAGACGCCTCCACTTCCATGTGGAAAGAATTCATTACGATGGCACAACCGTGGATCTCCGTACTTAACATGATGATTTTACCTCCGGCGTTATTCTTCGTGTTAAGAAATGTCATGAGGTTTGATTTTATACAAAGTTGTAGGTTTTATGATTACATAGGTTATTCAGTTCTCGATCCCTTCTAAGCTGCATTGTACTTGTGTTCTTCATTGTGTCAATGATCACAACATACAACAGGATGTATCAAGTGAGTTTCAGTCGCATTTTCAAGTTTCATCATCGTTATCTAAGTTCATGCAATTACTTGCTACATATTACGAAAGTAGCAAGCGTAAATATGACTTTGAAGCAGAGGTAATTGTAACATCGTACGATCTTGTCTGCCTTTGCTTCCTATCGAACCAATACGGCGTTAAGCGACTATTTAATGAGCGGAACACCTCTTTGATTATTTTGAAAAGTTACCTAAATGAGTTTTCTGCTCATCTTGTTAAATATGACCATGATCCTTGGAAGGTAGTTTTGGGCAGGAATTTATCTCTAAAAATACGTTCAGCCAAAACTACCGCTGCACTAAAACAAATTTAAAATGAAATTTTTTCACAGGAGAAACTAGCTCATCGCATGGCTGAAGCCATGAAGAGAAAGGAGGACGCATGTGCACCGAGCACTCTCCTCGAACAATCATTCGAGTACCTTACCAGTTTCTTCACTTTCCGGAAAAAGTCTTCTTGTGTATCCTTCATCGAGGTGGAGTTTAGCTCTTCCTTTCTTTTTTTTCGCTTTATCTGATCAACGTTGAAATATAGTAGCTTTTAAATTCTAGTCACAAACAATATCCATAGTTGCTGAAATCTCGCTTCTTGATGTGTTCTCTGATGTCCTGTCCAACTCGGTGTTTGGCGTTCTGGGAAATCTTGGTCGTCACACAAATCGATTTTTCCGCGAGTTCTTTGATGATGTGCCACTTCCCGTTATGCTTCTCATGGCGATCATTCTGGTACGCTTTTTAGGCTGAGCGATTTTAGAGAAACGTCAGGTTGTAGCCAAGACGAGACAACAACAACTTTATAAGGCTTTTGTTAATCGCAAATATCAGTGTACTGCAATTTTACGGCAGATGCACGTTCAGCTCAATCTGACGTTTCTCTTGGTTGATGCCTATATTGTGATGAATGTATTCATGCACTGTTGCAGATTTTTTCAACAGTTCGGATTAAGACACCATTATTCACTTTTGAACCTCTCCGTAAGTCTTTTTTTTTT